TATCCTTATCCAGGAACTGATCCTTCGTGACTACATGTCCAAAATTGTTGTTGTTAAGTGCAGTAGAGTCAGTTCTGACTTACAGCGACCCTGTATAGGGTTTCCAAGGAGTGGCTGGTTGGTTTGAACTGCCAACGTTGTGGTTAGCAGTCCAATGCTAATCCTACAGCACCACATCAGGACTCTGAGGAGAGAAGCCTCACCATCATTGCTTCTCAGGAGCAATCCAGAGGTACTTCTTCCAAAACAAATTTGTTTATTCTTCTTGGAATCCAGGGTACTTTTAATATTCAAATGCATCCATTCTCCTCTGGACTTTTCTTATCCTTTGTCCAGCTTTGGCATGCATTTGAGACAGTTTAAAATACCATGGCTTAGACTGGGTGAACCTTAGTCCTCAAAGTGACATCTTTGCTCTTGAACATGTGAAAGACTTCTTTAGCAGCAGATTTGCCTAATGTAAAATGTGCTTTGATTTCTTGACTGCTGCTTCCATGACTGTTGATTGTGGATCCAAGTAAAATGAAAACTTTGCCAACTTCAGTGTTTTCTCCTTTTATTTGATATTGATATTATTTATTAGTCCAGTTTTTGTTACATTGAAGTGTAATCCATACAGAAAGCTGTATCTTTGATCTTTGTTCGAGTGCTGGTTCTGACTCATGGTGACCCTTTTAAGCATCAAGAAATGGTTGATACACCCTGGCAGTGACTGCTGTGGTTGAGGAGGTGCTGAAGAACACAGAGAAGGGCCCTTTCTCCAGATGCCATTGGAGTTGCATCTAATGCTTCTGAAGGATGAGTAAGGCATAAGGAGTGGTAGAGAAGATGCCCCACAGAGTGTGTAAGGCCTACAATCGAAGGAGAACAGAACACAGCCTACCAACTGAATCTCAACCATGAGGTAGAACAAGTGTGAGAGCCAAGGCTGGAAAGATAGAGGTCCAGACAAAGAAGGGCCAGATCTCATAGACTCTTCTAGGTCATGCAATTTAGATACTGTTCAGAGAGCAAGAGGGAATCAGGGTTTTAAACAGGACAATATAACATGATTGGGTTATGTACTTTGAAACCTGGAGGCCTTTACAGTGACCTAGTAGTGGTGGTTCAGATGAAAGTAGATGTGGGGGTAGGTTCAACAAGGCCTTGGTGAAAGGTTGAATGTGAGCAGGAATCCAGTGACTGTCAGGCTTGGACAACTGAGTGGTGTCTTTTACTTAATCTGAAACCAAGGAGAACAATGTGTTTCATTTTGGACATATTGAGCATTAAGTTGTCATGGAATATTTCTAAATATAGAAATATCCAAGAGGCAATGTAAATACTGTTTGAAGTTCTTGGACCTTGTCTTTGACTCTGATCATCCATCTCAACTTTTGTGACCATGTAAGAGTCATTCCTCTTTGTCTCCATTTCAGTATGATGTTAAGTTGGAAGTGTCACCTTTCTTAATCTTTGTTTTCTCATACAAAATGAAAAGGCAGGTAGATGATCTTCCTGAGCTTGTTGGACTTAAACTCAAAGGCTGCTTTCTTTTCAAGTTGATTGGAGGGTGGAGTTTGGGACATTTTCATGCTCCAGTTTGAGCTCTTCTGGTTGCATATTCTATGCTGATGTGTACTGTGGGCTCTCAATGTCATGATCATGAGACTGAGCAAAGGGAGAAAACTTGTAGTCAGTTCTGGTGCAAAAGGAAAGGACTTGTCTGTCTTCTTAGCAGCACTGTACAATCAGCTCTGGACTTAGAACCACAAGGTCAACAATTCAAACACACCAGTTGCTCTTTGGAAACTCTATACAGGGCTGGTATGAGTTGGAACTGACCCTCAATGGCACTTCACAACAACAACAGATAGGACCAAGACAAAACAGCCTTGGCTTCCTGATCAGTTGCATTTGCATCCATTCACTTACTCATTAATTTAACAAACTACAATGTTACCAATACTGTTATTTGGAAGGAAAATACAGAACACTTTACAGTAGGAGTAAAAGACAAGATAAATAACTTAGCAGTTTTCCAACTTGAGGGTGCGTTAGAATCATCCAGAGACCTTACTGAAACACAAATAACTGGACCACATCAACAGAATGATTCTTTTAAGTCTGGGGTGGAGCCAAGAATTTTCATCTCGAACTAGCTCTTCTAGGTGGTGCTAATGCTGAGGGGGGTCAGGGTACCACAGTTTGAGAGGCAATGGCAGTGTGATGGTCTGTAGGAGCATGGAGGAAGGAATAATCTGTGCCACCGGGTTTATTTACAGTCTTCTTATCGAGTTACCTGTTGTATTTCCTGGATCCGATTTTTCTGCACACAGTCCTTTATCATGAGGCTCACTCAAGGACTCACTCGGGCTCCAAGGTAACTGCCCACAGAAGTCCTTGTCAAGAGAGCCTGATTTATTCCATCCCAATTGTTCCATTGTACTTTTCTTCTTTCTTCCCAGTTAGTTCTGACTGCTATTGCCCCTCCACGCCTCAAATTTAAAGAGATTTTGAGAAGTTACTTTCTAAACTGTTTCCAGAGAATAGCTGTAAGACCAGTTTTCAATGTGTGTTCCCTGAAACTGTTAGCAGCCCCACTCGTAACCACTACACTACCAGAGCTCCCTCAGAATTCCTTCGTTGGGTCAGTATGAGTTGAGCTAGACTAGATGGCAATGGATTTGGTTTGGTCTGCTTGACTGCCTGATTTTAGTGTTACTCAGCAGCTTTGGATACAGGGGATTTGGAAACCTATCCTCTATTATCCTGGACTAGATTTTACCCAAAAATAATGAGAGAATGGACTCTGGGCATCATTATAAATCTAATGGGAAATGTGCATACATCTGTCAGACTTTCGTCTTATCTCTTTATTATTTATCTCTCTAACATCAGGGTCGCTATGAGTCGGAATCGACTCCATGGCACATAACAACAAAGATCAGAAAAACCCTCTGTTGTTTTAGCTAAAAGAACACCTACACTCACTGTATCCTTTCACTTTTAAACCCTTCTAGAGGAAACAGCCGTAGATGAGGTAACATCTCCTCCAGTTAACCAGTTCCTGTTAGGCAGGAGGACCACGAACACTGGACGCCAGGCACGTCCCTTCTATAGTCTGTCTACTGCTGCAGCAGGCTGGCGAGCATGGGCTCAACATTCATGTGCTGAGTCTTGGAGGGCTCTTTTGACTTTTTTTTTTTTAAGTCTCAGAATGGCTTAAAATAGCATGGTAGCTAAAATAACAACAACAACAATAGCATGCCAGTCCTAAGGAGAGCTGTTTGTTTTAAATCTGAGACGTTGGTTTTGCCAGCAGTTAGTTTCCACTAGCTGGGCTCCCACATGAACTGTTTTAATGGGAATCATATGGTCTCTTCATGACAGGAAATGTGGGGGGCCTGGTAAGTGTTCCTTCAACCCCTCTGAGGAGTTTCCTAAGCCTTGGGCTACACACACCTGTACACCCATGAAGTTGAAGTAGGTAGTGTGGACCAAGTCATTTTAAAAGTCCACTGATACTATTGGCCTCCCCTCCGGCCTAGTTACACAAGCAGATGTACCCCCATCACCAAGTCCTGAGATGGGAATTCTAACTGCCTTGCTGAGAGAGGAAGGGAAGTAAGGCCAGCCAGCCACAGTGTGTTGAGCCACATTTCTGGAAACCTCTTTTAGTATCTAGAAATGAGTTCAGCTTTCCCTCGGAATGGATGGTTATCAGTCATATCCTGTTGACAGCTCTTGCCATGGAGGCTGGCTTTGAAAAGCCTCAGCTACATTCACATGCACCCTGCAGGCTCAGCTACTTGCTGGTGGCTCTGTGGAATGATCTCCATACTATATCCAACAAAGTAGTTTTCTGTTTTGAAATCCCAGCCCAGAATCGGCCTTTTGAGAATGTGGGGACAGGCCTGGAACAACTTCTTAGGTTGTGTAGACAGAGTGAAGAGACCCAGTGGACCGTGGTCACAGGCACTTTGCATGTCATTAAGACAGTCCTGAACGGCAGCGCCACTAATGGCTTTCTCCAGTCACCTTTTACTGGCTCCCTCAGCAGTCCTCCTTAACATCCCACCCCTACTTGATTTTAGACTTTGACAGGTGATAAAAAACACCTATTGATTGCTGCTTCCCAATGTCCAAATTCATAACCATTTATTGACAGGTGTTATTTTTGCTTTCTGAGCGGCTCCTTCATGTGTTTGCTGTTATTTTCAATGGATTGGTTCCTGAGACACTCTAAGGCCCAGGCACTCACCTGTCAATCTGACAAACTACAACTTCACCTGAGTGGAATCAGACCTACATGAGGAACAAGGAGGCCAGGCAGTTGGCAACATGACTCCCTTCTGTTTCCCCGAGAAAATATAGTTATTGTCAACATCCTTGTTTCCATCTCTGTGGAGCTTAACTTTAGCCAGGACACTCAAGGTATTCCACTACCATTGTCTGAATTTTAAATATAGAAATGCATTGTGGTCCACTTTGTCTGGCCATGTGCTTCTGAGGGGTAAATGGAAAATGCTTGATAATTGTGATTCATTCGTCAGTAATAATCATGCTGATAAGCTGAAAGGTCTTAGAGTTCTGATCTGTCAAGGTCCTGCCAGTAAAGCCTTATTCTCCCAATGACTCTCTGAAGTGAGTTCTCGTGAGATATTGCCTACCAGTCTTTCCTCTTGGGTTGTGTTCTTTGAGGGGCCACCTCTTCTGTTGCTGTGTATAGGAAATTCCCACTGTTCTTGGATTCCCCCAGCTATAGCGTCCACAGTGGAACATGGGCCAGAGATCTCAGCAGGCCAGGCAGGCAGCAGAGGACGCTTGTTGCTGTTTTTATGTTGTATTCACTGTTCCCTTACTTAGAGTTTGGGGGACCACATCCAACAGGTTATTAAAAGGAGGAAAATCCTTTGACTTCTGAGATTGATTGGGACTTGGGGTTATTGGTGTTTTGTTTTCTGAATTGAATCCGGCTGTCTGGTAACCACTAACTCTCCCTTATTCTTTTCTTGCAGATGAGCTCACAGTGCCTGCACTTTACCCCAGTAGCCCTGAAGTGTGGGCCCCGTACCCTCTGTACCCAGCGGAGTTAGCGCCTGCTCTACCTCCTCCTGCTTTCACCTATCCCGCTTCACTGCATGCCCAGGTAATTTATACCCATCGGCCACGACTTCACTCACTCCACCACCAGTCCTTTCAAACCTGGTTCCTCAGAGCACACCATACAACTAACACCTATCCAGCTAACAGATCCACCTTCAAGAGATTAATGACCCCCTCTAAATCAAGCTGACACTCCTCCAGGACTTATGAGGACCGTCTGAGAGCATTGATATCACCCACTGCCTGATGTTTGCCCCAAATGACACCTTCTCTCTTCCTTAATGATCTCACCATCATATCACACACAAGGTTCTCCGGCAAGGTTCCCTCTTCTTCGGCTCCCAGGCTCCAGCTAGCCAGAGGGCATCACCAGAGGGTAGACGTGTGTGCCTTGCTGTGTGGAAGGGCTGCAGGAAAGCCCTGTATGTGTTGAGAGAGTCTTGTGTGTGTGTGTTTCTGTGTGTTGAAAGATTTCTGCTCTTATCTTCTGTGAGAATCTGGTGACAAAAGGAGAGAGTTTGGAGCTACATGATACCTTATGTATGTTATGGAAAAGATTATGAGTAGTGGTGTCTTTCCATTCTTAAGAAACCCTGAAGAAAAGGAGGTATAGTATGATGTCTAGAATGTAATTACAGGTCAAGAAAGGCAGATCACTGGTGTGGCTGCCTTTCTTTGTTAGATAAGAATACCCTAAGTTTTGTAAACAACCTCCTTTGCTGTTCCAGGAAGATTACTGCCTACCTACTAACCCTTTCTCTGCCCTTGAAGGAAACGTTTCCTCTTACCTTTATTTTTTGTATGAGTAATAGTGATAACTGTTAGGATTTAACTTTGGAATTAACCACCCATTCTTTGTCCTGCAAAGAGTGATGATCAATACCCAAAAAGAAATACAGATTTCTTTTGTTTTACTGAATGTGTAACATCGCTACATAAAGCCTAGTTTTTTTAAATTGTTGGACTGGACAGGTGGGCTTTCTTACTTCTGTCTTTTATTTGGTTTCATGTTTATTTACAAGACTGAATGAAATAAACTGTTTTGTAGGAAACTCTTCCTTTTGATTTAAAAAACAAAAAAATTCTTATCACGTTGTACAAAGCATACTATATATTGAGTAAGACCCTTCTGAACAGAACATCTGAGCATCCTCCCATTGTCCTTCGCTGAGATGCCAATGCTTCTATCTTAGACAACGTGGCTTCTCAGGTCCAATGAAGGCAGACAGAATCCAAGAGAATATCTTGGTGCCTTGGCCCTCAGCAGTGATTACCCTTCATATTGGGAGAACGAAGTAGAATGTAGTATCTTTGTAAAGAAAATTCTTGATGGTGGCAATGGTTAGCATATTTGGCACAGAAAAATATTTAAGTAGCCATTGCTAAATGGGTTATTCTAAAACAGATTACCTAATACATAGATTAGCTTTTGCTTTTCTTTCCACCTCATGTCTTTGCTTCAAGACCCCTTCAATGACAGGTAGCAAGGGGAAGAGAGATGAACATAAAACTGAAAGGTAGACGTTGTCTGAGTTACCTGTATGTCCATGCTGAGCCAGAGATATCTTTGTAGGTGACTTGGGGCAACTGGAAGAGACGTTTCCAGTTACCCTCTCCACTGTCTTTCCCTGAGTGATGTTTCCTCTTTTCCTGTTCTCTTGCTAGACTGCCCAATGTCCTTTTATCATAATGTGTATATAGGTGATCCCCAGTGTATAAGTTATTATTCAACAACTCTGACCTAAGTCAATGCTGACAGAAATGAAACACTTTTTTCCCCTGCCCATTATTATTGCCTTGTATCATCAGTGTTTTTATAAATCTGGGAGTCTGTTGAAGAGTAAGTCAAATCTGTGAAGTATGCATCTGAGAATGACATCAGCAAATTATGCATTGTAACATATTGCTAACCATAATTTATACAAAAAATACAGTGATAAACGGGGAGGTAATTGTAACTTTGAACTCATGTTAAGTGGGGAACTATCTTTATAATACCAATCAATTGGCAATTAAGGCAAATTGTAATAAATGACATGAAGCAGTGCCAAGTTTTACTTAGTCTTCTGACTATGCCTGGCTTTGGTTAATCAACGAAAGCCTTTCACTATTACCATGGATAATCTAGAGTTGGAAGTGGCCAATTAACAATGTGTCTGTGACTTTTAGACATGACATCTCATGTCTAAATCTCAGTCATTAGTCATTGCTTCACTCATGTAATTGATGAAATCAGGCATAATTCTAAGGACAATGGGAGCATGACTTACAGAATCTAAGGAATCAGAAAGCCTTTCAACTGTGAAGAGATGAGGAGAAACAGTGTCAAGATTAGATACACTTAACCATTTCAGTTCCTGAGGTGCATTGCCAATGGTGGGACTCCCCACTGATTTCTTCCTTGATCTTGAGGTTTTCCCATCCTGGGGGGAACCACTTGGCTTTGCCACATCTGACATCTAGATTTGTAGAGCTGTCTCATCCAATATAAGTTAGAACCATGTGCTCAACCTCACTTTTTGCTTGGAATATTCCTTGTACAGTCTTGGATTTCATAAACTTCAGACTCAAGAACAAATTATATTATTTCAATCTGTCTGTTCAGGATGAGAATCATAGAATGAATTGGTAGATGTTTTTCATATTAGCTGGTCTGACCCACTTTACAGACCAGGAAACATATCTGAGAAGATGGAAAGTGTTATCCAAAGTTACAAATGGCTCTACCATGACTATATATGCAGGTCACCTGATTCCCAGCCCTTGCTTTTTCTACTCTGTAGGACTGGCTAACCAAAGACTTTCTCTTTAATGAAATTTTGGAAAGACTTCATTCCAGTGACTCCTTGGATCTTTCTCCTCTAACTAGCTGGGAAGCCCCTAAGAAGAGTCTTGGAGGCAAAGACAAGGGAAACTGCACTTAAACCTTCACCCAAAGGGCCTAAGAAGGATTTTACTAATTGGAGGTAGATCAGAGTGGGAAGGCCAAAATGGAACATCTCCCCTTAGTGGCTAAATTCCATTTTTGTTTCTGAAATCTTATGTCTTTGGAGAAACTTCTAAATAATTTTGCTTTTCTTAGCAATGTTGTGCTTTGTTTTGAGACATGGATTTTTTTTTTCTTCTAGTGTTTCTCTCCTGAGGCAAAGCCCAACACACCTGTCTTTTGTCCGCTTCTCCAGCAAATTAGATTTGTCTCTGGGAATGTGTTTGTAACATATCAACCTACTGCAGACCAGCAGAGGGAGCTCCCTTGTTGAATGTGCTTGTTAGCTATTTTCCCCTCTTTTACAAAAACTATTTCTTGGCAACATTTGAGAGATTTCAATAAAAATTGTAATGATAATGAAAATGATCTCAAATAGACTTCAGCGTTTTGTTTTCATGGTGATGCGATTTTGGAACAAAGGTGTGAACCTCTGCTGAGCTTTTGGGGGAAACTGGGTTCCCGCGACACTAAGTATATTTCATGTGGAAGAAGAACTCCGAAACAACACCCTGGGGAGTCCACGCCAGAGACAAGTCCTCATTGCTGCTGCTCCTATCTTCTTAAACTTGTAAAGGTTCTGCGTATTGCAAGATTATCATACCAGTGTCCCTAGGTCACATCTACCAGGAGTGCCCACCTCAGTAGGGACAGTGTATCTAGCTAGCTGTTTGAAAGAAACAGATGTGCTTTCCAGTCATCCCATTGTGATCCGAAGGAAGGAGGGACCCAGGAGACAGAAATTGTAATTGAAAGGGGTTACAATTGAGTCACATTTCCAGTTCTGCCTCGGCTTCGATCTCTGGTCTGGCACCCCCTCAGTTTTCGCAGTTCTAAGTTGAAGATGCTTATTCGCCATCAAATTCCACTTTTTAAGAATTATTTGGATAAGATAATTGGACTACAAACCTCAAGAACTGGCTTACTATAAAAGAACAACTCAGTGCAATAAACATCTGATTTTTGAGAAGGTCATTAACGTTAGCCGTGAGCATCCTGTTTACTTCCAAGGTCATTGGTATTTGTAATTTATTGCATATATTATGTAAGTCACCGTGAAGAGGAGAGAAAGCCTTTAATATTGCTTTCAGGAAGGTTAAACTCTTAAGAGAACATACAGCTGTTCCTGGACCTCAGCTTCCCACCTCTCAACTCTTTTAGTCTGGGTTCATTTTTGCTCTTAATTTTGTTGCTGAGGAAGTCAATAAAGTGCACTGTTCTTGCTGCATTCTAAAAACACAGCGCTGTTTACCTTCTACCAGCATCAGAGCCACACTCTTGGGCCAGAAACTCTTGCAGGTAAGTCAAACTGAAGTTTTTCCTTGGAGGCTTCATTTACCCTGAGTAACAGCAGTTCTTTCAGAATTCTTAATAGGGCTGCCATACAATTTCTGACTGGAACGTATCACCTAGATTTGCAATCTGTAAAACACACAGCAGAAAGGAAACAAAGGGATTTTAAAATCATAACACAGACGTCCAGGGAGCAAGTCATGCCCCATGGGAATTCCTTGTGACATACTGGAAAATTTTTTAAAGGTTAAACCTAAAATAAATACAGAAATGGACCATGGGAAAAAGAGACATACAGGCAAGCAGGGGAGAGATTTGGAAGGACTAGATGCTCCAACGAGTCCGTATAAGTTGCCTTAACTTCATAGCTACCCTGTCAGCACCATATTCAAGTGTTTCCTCAGATGAGCAGTGAGCTTCATCTGAGAACTGGGCTTTATATAATAAAATGAGATCGTTAAAAATTCCATGAAGCATCTCCTGCATCACTATTCCATACCCTATTAAGATATACTGAGATTAAGACAATAAATATATCGTCTCTAAATATACAAACATATTTGCTCAGGATATATTTAGAGAGTATCTTTATGGAGTAGGGTATGGTATTCAGTGGAGCACATGACTCCTTGCACATCTCCCAGCAGCCTGGAGGGTATAGATCCTACCCATGTACATTTAGCACTCACAAAGAAGGAGAACCTAAGTTCTTATTATTGGCCTCTGCTTCCTATTAGGAAAGATGTAGCCAGTGCTATAATGGTGGTTGGTCCCCTAAGGGGGCCTGTTTAAAAAGCCCTCCCTGAGACCCTTGGGAGACAGTTTCAGCATCTGGCCTTTCTGGCCAACCTCCCAAAGGGTAAGAGGGGCTTCAGGAAAAGAGTTGGGAGATTTGTTCTATAAATCCCATATCCTATCAATTCTTCACCCTGACCTCCTTGTCCTTGAGGCCTGTGTGTCCTCAGGCACATTGTCTTCCTTCAGAACAGACAGCACTAGAGGCTATTGGGAAGACCGTTCTGAAGAACTGCAGAAGTTGCCTCTGGACTCTTCGGCCCAAGGTTTTAAATGATTTCCAGACATAAGTGAAACTATTTAGTGCTCTGACATTTACCTTTCACTCACTCTAAAAAAAAATACCTGCAGCTCTGTGAAGGTCAGACTATGAGGAGAGGTCACCCCTTTAAAAGTGCTCTCATTGCTGAATGTGCCCTATTTTGTTAAGCCTTTTGTTCATTGGGAGCATCTGGCTTCACTCTTCTTGGAGGACCGGGGAGCAGCCAGATCAGACATTGTGCACACAGCCCCAGCTTCCCTTGAGTGTAGGACAGGGAGGCAGGCTGTTTCCCTGGCTGGCTGGGGGGTCTGCCCTGTGCTGACTTGAGCAGCTCAGAAAAGCTCCGAGATGCTGGTTTCCTATCTGAGTCCAGGGCAGTAACTGAGCAGTTGAAAGTCCAAGCTTGGAAACTTCTTGTGTCAAACATGGACTCTACCAACTCTAGCATTGTAGTCTTGATTAAGTTCCTTAACTTCTCTGGGCTTCCATTTCCTCATCTGTAAAAAGGGTCTAGTAATCTCTCATCTAAGATAAATGCCTGGCACACAGTAAGGATTTAGTAAATGCTTGCTAGATAGGTGGGGGGATGTTTGCTTCTCATGTGCCTTTTGAAGAAACAACTGAATTTTGGAAGCCCATGTCTAAGCTGGATTACCCTCAAATCTTTTATAATTCACATAGTTAGGAATTTTCTATTAATGGGACCACAGAATCCTCATAGCTACAACCAGATGGAAGGCAGAGGTTGGGGAGATTGAAGGGATAGTTAAAATAGATGGGGGACTCATGAGAGTACACCACCAGCTGTGAAGGCACCTGCCCTGCATCCAGAAGTGTGGCCCATACAGCTTGTACCAGAGCTGCAAGGATGTGTTCCCCACCAGGGGCGGAGTACTCAGTCAGCAACGTAAATAAGGGCTCACTAGTACTTAATAATAATCTATAGCAAACAATTCATTTTCACTTGGATTCCATCATATCTTTAATGTGTTGCTTAAAAAAAAAAAAAAATTGAAACTGCACTACAGATTAGTAACTAAACACAAGTAAACTCATGCTTACTTTGCTTATTGGGTGGTGGTGGTTACGTGCTGTAAAGTCGGTTCTGACTCATAGCGATCCTGTACAGGGTTTCCAAGGCTGGAAATCTTTACGTGAGCAGAAAGCTTCATCTTTCTCCCACGGAACAGCTGGTAGTTTCGAACAGCTGGCCTTGAGGTTTGCAGCCCAATTCATAACCACTGCAATACCAGAGCGCCAAGATTATTGGCTAGGCCAACTCAATTTGAGTAAATTTGAAAAGAGACTTTGAGTATTGTAGAAAGGTGCTGTGACGTTAAGAGAGAAACAGATCTTTGATGTAGAAAAAATTTGAAATCATTCACTAGAGATTAGTAAATAAGAACAAGTAAGCCTGGGCTTACCTTTCTTAGTGGATAACCTGACACTGTTTACCACAGGAACTCTTCCTTCCTAGCCAGGCTGGATGCCCCAACCAGAAAAAACCTTTCCCTAACAGGAAACTATCAACAGTGGGAAACAGATGATATCCCAGAGAGAATATGGCCCCTGCGTGTTACTTTACTCAAACCCGCTGTCCCTGAACTTTCCAGCTGCTACCTTATCGTGCTTTCCTATCAGAGAAACTGGAGAAGAGAAAGACCCACAGGTCAGCTAGCCCATTCCTCCCTGTGCTTTCTGGCGCTTTCTTCCCATGCTACTTCCACTAGGATTCTGCCCAGACAGTGGAGCTACACCTTGTGTCTTTTGGAAGATTTTTCTCTTCATGGTGTGTGACTTACCCCTGGCCAAACAAATACTCAATCCTGCCTACCTTCCTCATCTTTTCCCTCTTCTGTTGTTTGTTTGGCCTCCTTGGTGGTGGTGGTATGCGGTGGAGTCTGTTTGAACTCATAGCAACCCTGTATAGGGTTTCCAAGGCTATAAATCTTAATGGGAGCAGAAAGCCTCTTTCTCCCGCAGAACAGCTGGTAGTTTCAAACTGCTGACCTTGAGGTTAGCAGCCCAATTTGTAACCACTACACTACCAGAGCTCTTAGTTTCCTGGGACTGCCATCATGAAATGCCACAAGTAGGTGGCTTGAAAACATAGACATTTCTTTTCCTCACAGTTCTGGAGGCTGGAAGTCCTAATTCAAGGCACTGGCAGTACTGTGTTCCTCCTTTGTTGACTCTCGGGAACAATCTTTCTGGTGTTCTCCACTTCTGGGAGTCCCGGTATACCTTGGCCGTCTTTTGCTTACAGACAGCTCCTTACAGTGTCTTCTCCTTCCATGTCTGTGACTCTTCCATGTCTGTTTTCTTCTTTTATAAGATGTCACTCAGAAGGTATTAGAATTAGGGTCCACCCTAATTTGGTGGCCTCATTTAACTTGTTGCTAAGTGCCATCGAGTCAGCTCCTATTCATACTGATCCTGTAAAAGGTTTCCAAGGAGCACTTGGTGGCTTTGAAACGCCATCCTGCGGTTTGTAGCCCAGTGCTTATCCTACAGTGCCACACCAGGACTGCGCATTGAACTTAACTGATGTTAAAAGAAGAACCCTATTTCCAAACATGGTCCTACTCACAGTGTCAGGGACATAATCCATACCTTAATATTGTCCAAAGTCATTCATCCGTAGTTGTTGGGGATAGGTTTTCTTTGACTCGCGCTGGTACTTCTGAGTCCCAACCAGAATCTATCTCTTAGTGATGTGCAGGATTTCCCGAGACCTCAAGCGTTGCCGTGTTTAGGGGAACAACTTAAAAGTGTGCCTCCTGGAGGTCAGCAGCCTGACTTTCATTGGTTGCACAGTGTTTCCAAGTTACTCAGCCCTGTTCCATTTTGTACTTTGGGTAAGACTAAACTCCCTGGATCCTATGTGTGTTTCCCCCTGACATCATTGGTAGAATGATTTTCTCCCCTGTAAGGCTCACGTTAAGTGCTGTTTGAGCTCTCCTCTTCCTTGAGATTACTTACAGATGGATGCTCAGACTCACAGT